ATGTAGGTTGATGAGCTGTAAAGTAAGGTCCAATACCGCTCATTAGAAAGCGTGTGACAAGGACTACAACAGTCAATACGGTTTGATAGCTCTATCGAAATATGGAGACAGGCGAATAGGAGTTCTCATCCTGAAGCCGTCTCGTCTCAAAGAAAATAATCGATGGCGTACGCGCGTTTTACGACGCCGACTCGCGTCCCACGCGTCACCATCTATAGCGTAAACCCGCTATGGAAAAATGGGGTGGTGAGAAATGAGGAAAGTCATGCCTCAGGGTGACAGACTCCCCCCCTTTCCGCGTTTCTCACGCTTCAAGATAGCCGGCTTCAACCAACTCGCGACGACTCTGTTGACGCAGTCGTCCCGTTTCCGTGCGAGACAGACGCAGAAGCACTTTGTCTACTTCTCGTAGCACCGCTATGGCCCCAGATGGACACATTGAAGAAAAGGAATAAGTACCAGATGCAGGATCCAACCACACCGGCTGACACATCCCCGATGGAGATTCCATCAGCTCCATGACGTGAATAGTGCCAGTCCGTAAGCCATCAGTGGTGGCCAATCCCATGGCATCTTCTCCATCGTTAAGGCGACACAAGATGAGATCGCCTTGCCTTACAGAAGCCTTACGGATCGTAGACTCGAAGGCCACCGTCGCTCGGTTACGCGTTACCGGTAGGCCCCGCGGTTCCAAGTGTACTGCCGACACGGGTACCAAATGTTCCGTCCCGAGAGGTTCCAACATAACCACCTGTCCAGCTTGTGAGTTTAGGTATACAAAAGGGCCGTCGTTGAAGCTTGGTCCCTGAACGAGTCGTACATGACCCTCAACAGGAAGACACTCAGGACGACGCCAAACGACCAATTCACCATCCACAGGTAGCCTTCCAGTAGCAGCAGCCATGCGTCTGACCGCATCAGCCGCATGCTTGCCACATCCAGGCCACCAGAAATGCCGTACGAGTGCCTCTAGAGCACTGTCCACACCTTGATGCAAAGACAAATCGTGGTAGACGAACGACACCCATTCCCTAATACTCCATCCAGGTAGGTAATTAGTAGACAAGAGCGCCGGTAGGTCCTCAGCTGAGCCCAAAGGGATAACCAGAGACCATATAATTTCGTCCGCGACCGCATCACGAATAACGAACAGACCCGGTCCCCACCGGACTAAACCAATCGCCATCGGCTACGGCCGATGAAGGGAGGTCTTCATCAGCAGTATCATCAGTATGGAGGAAATATGAACACCATTTGGCTAGGGTCGCACCGTGCACCTTAGTAGTGTTATCGATCTTCTGCTTGTCAATGATGAAGTCGTTAGCATTATCGAAAAAAGACAACAACCGGTTGAGGTCCTCTCCACCTTGTCGTCCCCCGCCTTCTTCTGCATCGGAGACAATCGGCACTGCCAGAGCAAGTGGCCGAGAATGACCTTCCGATAAGATGGCGTTTTCCCCGGGTAGCAGTCTAGATAGGATATCGGATAACCGGTTTCGAGGACCATTCACATGGCGAACGGTAAGATCAACTTCTGGGAAGTCAGAAAGATCTGCTAACCATCCAAGCCATCGTCTGTCGCGGCTCCCCTGAGGCTTCAGAACATATGAGTTCCGAGCTAGGAAACGACCTAGGGCAGCACTTGAGTCCGTCAACGCTAAGACCCTACCAATTTCGTGATCATCCGTCGAACCACGACGACTGAACCGGATCCTCAGTATGGTCTCGAGGATACGATATCGCCAATGAAGGAGGGATTTCGTCAGACCAAAGAGCTCCTTGTCAATGATATCATACCGGCGTTCCGCCTCAGACCATCGATGTGTCCAAATCCCGATGACTCGTCCCCAATTCCCCAGCCACTCGGAGTCGACCTCCAAGGGTTTATCAAGGGCTGTGAGTAGTTCCCGACGACTGCCAACATACAATACAGCCGCGGCGGCTATTGGACTCGCATCGCTAGACAGAACGAACTGCATGTCCTCCTGCGCCGTGGATGCCGTATGAAATCCGATCGTCTGAGGAACCATAGTACGAAGGATCTTCGCCCATATTTGGTCGAACTCTGGTGTCCAAAGGAGTCTAGCGTTGGGGCGAACTCCTGTAGAGGTCATCTCGCCTATCAGAGCCGTCAAAGGCTGCGTCAGATGAGTCAGCGTGCCAGCGGCTCCCCCCGTAACGGGTGACCATAAACTCTTGCAAAATTGCATGAGGCCAAGTTCTACGCGCAAGCCACGCAAGGTTTGTGGACGGTCCGATAAGGCCAACCGGAGATCCTTCAAGGTGTGGTCAGCCACACGATAACCATCGGGCCCAAGGGACATACCGAGAAATTCTACTTCCCTATCAGGACCTCTAACCTTATGGGGTGGCACCTCCGCCCCAGCAGTTCGGACGGCAAAGATCACAGCTTGTAACATCGCTTCACATTGAGCCCGAACGGGGTGCCAGAGCAGACAGTCATCCATATAGGTAACCATATAAGGTAATAACTCAGGGACAGCAGTATCCAATAGCCGGCGAAGGGCGTAGCACCAATAGCTAGCGCTATGCGTCCATCCCATTATCATACGACGATGTAACGCATAGTGGACCTCGTTGTTCTGGTCGAAGTAACTGAAGGCAAAATAGCGCTGAACTGAGGGATGGTATTCAAGGCAAAAGTAAGCGTTCTTTATGTCTAACGTGGCGAACCAGGAATTCGCGCCGATGGACTCGACGCACTGCAGCAACGGTAGTTGATAGCCTTCCCAAGTCGAGGGTAGGGGCTTGCAGCACTCATTGATAGGCCTTTCATCTACCACCAAACGAAAGTGTTTCTGCACGTTCTCATCCGTCAAGTCACCAATCGAGGGTTGTTGCTCTGCAGAGTTTTTCTCTACAATAAACGCTGGCACCACCCAGATATGTCCCATCCGGACCTCGTCGAGTGTGACAGTTTTGACAAAACCATCTCGCTCCAGTTGAGCAACCAGCATTTGCATGGCCTTGCGCTCTATATCCTTACATGGGTAGGGATCTCTCCTGGCTGGTAGGACCGCCGTAGCCTTCATTTCAACATAGACCTGGGGCCATTTCCAGGTTTTGAGCCTGTCACGGATGGTTTCATTGTCTGGAATTGATAAGCCCGCGGTGTTATCGTGATCAGCTCTCGTCGACTCCTCGTCCGAGCAGGGAGCAGCGCTAACAGGCATATCATTTTCACGAGCATCCTCACCCGTAGGGAACAACGGCCATACAACACCCAACTCGTGGGCAGTCAGAGCATCGCGCCCCACATCGATACTGGCCCGCATGCGCGTTAGAGTGCCAACACCAAGTAAGACAGTCGCCTCGCGGAGAGACTCGTGTAAGAGCTCACCGTCAACCAGATATACATGCAGTGTCACCGTGCTGCGATTCCCTGATTCTCCTTGAACTGACGCGGTGAGTCGTCCTCTTTCAGACAGACGTAAAGATGCTGAAGAGCTGAGAGAGCCGATAACAATAGGGTCTTCCAAAGGCTCGCGATGTGACACTCGACACCTTTTGGCCGCTTGTCGGGACATGATCGTGTAGTCTGCACCAGTATCTACCACGAGTCGGATATTGGTGCCTCCGGCAATGGCCTTCAGATGACGCAAACTAGAGCCTTTCGAGAAGAAGATTTTACCATCTCCTTTGTCATCGACACCGTCTGTCTTAGCCTTCAGCCGAGGCTTATACCAGGCCGGGACGATAGCAGAGTTAGCAGGGTCCTTCCAACAGGTTTCTCGCGTATGTTTGACCGCGCCCTTAATCTTGTGGTCTGAGCAGTATCCGCACGAACTAGAGGATTTACCCGCCGCCGTTCCTGGGGTCTCCACACACCGCTCCTGTGTTGTGGTGCTCTTAGGGTGGTCCTTCCGGGTGACATTCTGGTCCACAGAGCCACGACGGTCCTTGTTCTCAATGTAGATAGCTGCTTCTCTTACCTCCTCCAACGTGAGTGAGCTCAGCCGATGCATGTATACACTCTCCAGGCTGGTTCTTAGTTCTCTTCTTAGGCCTCCCAAGAATCTGGCGGCAATCAGCTCTGGGGTTAGGATCATCCCAGTGACCGTACGGAAGAGTTGTGCCTCACTGCGTAGACGACGACAGAAATCGTTTACGTTCTCACCGGATCGCATATATAGGCGCTCCCAACGCGTGGCTACTCCTGAGGGTGTGTCTAATGCAGAGTAACGCTTATCCAACGCGGACCAAATCGCTGTCAAGGAGGCGTCAGCTGCACCGACGTCAGTCAAAATTATGTCCAAACCAAGGCCAGGGGACAGGTTTCTGAAAAGATAGACCACCAGTTCATCTTCGTTTAGCTTATAGAATTTCATGGCAGTCACCAGTGCCGTGCGGAACATCGTATACGGTAAGGTGTTTGATGGACCATCAAACGGCGAAGACACCTGTAGGGGCAACTTGTGGGGGTCGTTCTTGACCTTGCTCAACTTTTGTCTCTCGGTTGGAACATCCTCAACGTGCCGCTCGTTCTTCTTGTCAGCAGCCTCACGGCGTTTTAAGACAAACACCACCCTATCCTCGTGCGTCTTCGCTGAGCCTAACCCAGCTATCCGATGAAGACGTAGGGTCTTTTTCACAGCCGATGTCGCTACCGCCGCGCTTACTAGGGTCGCCATCTCGAGGTCAACGTCGGCCACTTCAGCTCCATAAAGGAGATACTTGAACACGCCCTGAGCGGTCATGCTCGGGTCGTCACCCACAGACACAGATCCGGAGGAACTCTTCAGTCTTTCCTGGACAAGAGCACTCCATCTGGCCAGCCAAGAGCGAACGTTTGTGTTCGGGTCCTTCAGAGCTTCGAAACCGGTGACAGTCTCATCAATGAAAGTATCATCATTCGGCTTGTCCAGGTTGTCCCAGTCGAGGGTAGCCAAGACATCACGATACGCGGGGGCCTCGGGGAAGTTGTCGGCCAGCTTTCTAATTTCTGTCATCCGCGACTCTGAACTCAAGTCTGAAGTTTCCAATGTAGGTTGATGGGCTGTAAAGTAAGGTCCAATACCGCTCATTAGAAAGCGTGTGACAAGGACTACAACAGTCAATACGGTTTGATAGCTCTATCGAAATATGGAGACAGGCGAATAGGAGTTCTCATCCTAAAGCCGTCTCGTCTCAAAGAAAATAATCGATGGCGTACGCGCGTTTTACGACGCCGACTCGCGTCCCACGCGTCACCATCTATAGCGTAAACCCGCTATGGAAAAATGGGGTGGTGAGAAATGAGGAAAGTCATGCCTCAGGGTGACACCACCGTTTAACCAAGGACGAGCCAGTACCGCCGGACACCACCACCGTTGTATCATCCACATAAAGGGTCAGGCTTACGCCTTTCGCCTCAATATCTGCAAAATCATCTACAAGCGGCAGGGTTGATAGAAGGAACAACAACGGCCCCAAGAGAGCCTTGGGGTACACCCCGTTCAAGTTCCAGGCTGGCCTCGTCTGCACCATAGACAGCCGAAACCCTCTGGGCCTTCCGATAGCTTTCAACAATGCTCACTAAGTAGCGAGGAACATTATATCCGGCCAAGGTTGCCAGAATGTGGCTGTCCTTTACCGAGCTAAACGCATTTTGCACGTCCAGTTGTACAAGTGCAATGGATGCGCGTTTGCTCCTTTTCCTGCCCGCCTTGAACGCTTCTACCACGCGCAGGACGGCAGAGTCTACCGATTTGCCCTTGCAGAATCCATGGACGATAGGAGAGTCCAATCGTTTCTGGATCTGCGGGCAAGACGCAAGCCGTTCTACTATGAGACGTTCGAACAGCTTGCTACCAGAACCGACCAAGCAGATAGGCCTCTACCCGTTAGGTTTGGTGGGGTCCCTGCCGGCCTTATGAATAAAAATCCCTTTGGATGATTTCCATCCGTCAGGATACACACCAGTCTCGAGGGCTTCAGTGAACTGGGTACACCAGTTGTCCTTCAGCACCTCAAGAGTGTCAAGAATGATGCCGTTGGTGACATCATCCTCACCTAGAGCCGCATCTCTCCGCAATCCCTTGGCCACCTCTCTGAGCTTAGAGTAGGTGACCGCTGGAATGGGGTCGTTTTGCGGCGATAGAACCAGGGCGTCTACCTCCGCAGCCCTTCCGGGATCACCGGGAAAGAGCTTACGTAGGAGGAAGTCCGCCTGATTCACTCCATGTGGGCAGATAGCCGCAGGAGGAATCCGGGGACAACCTCGTTTACCACATCGGGAATAGTGCTGCAGATCGCTAAAGAATCTACGAGCCCCGT